TTTTCTGAACTCAGATGAAAATGAATCCGACACGGAAACAGTTTAGAAACAAAGAGGGGCAGGCATAAAGACAGACACAGACGTAGAGACAGAGAGGAAGATAGACAGAGAGAAAGAGATGGAAAGGGAGAGATGAGGACAGGGAGACAGACGGAGGGAGAGAGCGCAACCGGATGGCATTGATCAAACCCTTGAGAGAGCCATGTCGGAAGCCAGGCTTTTGAGCTAATTGAACCAATCAATTTATTTTCTGTCACATGCTGCTGAAAAAAAAGACCTACTAATATATCATCTGATAAGCAATTTGCTGAGGACTCTTCAGTCAGGCAATTCATTGGGGTCTATACAGGAAAGGCCCTCTTCAACTGCTAATTTAAACCGTAAGTCTATTTGAGTAAGCTAAAATTACATCCCCATAACAAGTCTGCTTATTGCATATGAAATAATTGGAATTCAGAGGGAGCTGTATTTACAGTAGTTACCTGCGGGGTGTACAGCCGTGGAGGTGGGGAGGAGAATTGGGGACGTTTTTAGGTTTTACTTGTGAAAAGGTGCCATTTTTTTATAATGCTCAGGTATTATGTTTTTTAAAAATGGTGATGGTTAGAAAAGAGATTGTTGAAACAGATCAGACACAAGGTCATGGAGATGAGTGTGAATGTCCACGGGAGGGAGCACCTGCTGCCAGGCTGGCGAGGGCTCCCTGAGGGGGAGAATCTAGGCGATTCCGTGAGAAAGCGGAGGGAACACGCTGCTCAGAGGTTCCACGTTCCCGCAGTGCTCCGGCTTCAAAGGGAACTCCTAGCACTGACTCAGAATGCTCTCGGCCGGCTGGGGAATGTGCTAGCCCAGGAGCACTTTCAGCTGGAAGGTGACCGAATACTCTCGCATTCGACAAGGGTTAACTTCTAGCAAAGAGAGAACAGGGGCTTAAAACACATATTTCCTAAATTAGTGAAGGTGAAGTTTTCCAACCCCAACCCAACTGACCATCCAGTCTAGCCAGCTCCACCCCCAGAGCCCCCCATATAACCATCATTAATGATTAATGTACTTCCCCCACTCACTCCTGTGTGTACCCAGATACAGATCTAGGTATTTATCTTACAAAAGTGGAATTATTCTAAACACTAAAGTCTGAAGCTTGCTTTTTTCCCCTCACATAACACACCAAGGATATCTTTCTAAGACAATACACATAGTTATCCCTCACGATTTTGAATGGCTGAGTTACAGTATCCCACTTTCAAAACCTGTACTCTTACAGATACGTGGTTGGTTTTCATTCGCCACAGAACCTTAGCTTTCAAATAATCAGTGATACTTTATGCCTTAATGCAGTTCTGACCTCTCATGACCCATACTATAGGTGGCGTGGATTTTAATTATGCTTTTGAAATTATGTTTTAACGAGGCAATGAACTTTCATTAATAGGATTCAATTCTCAAAGCACCCGGAAGCACAGTGGATGGTGGTTGGGGAAAAGCGTTTCATAATGTTTTGCTTTGATGTAGGGTCTGCTATCTGGGTGGAATCAGGACTCGCAGTGAGCATTCTTGCTTGAGAGGCGCTATCCTTTATGAGTCATCCTGCAGATTCACACAGCCCTAGACAGGAGGACAAGACATCTTGCCAGGAGTGCCCATGACAAGTGATGACATCGCACCTTAGAGACGCTCACTCTGTGCTCTGCCCCGGCCCGGCCGGACTGTCCTGGGAGGGACCCAGCAAAAACAGAAGGCAGGTGACAAACAAAATCACACTCTTCCAGGCTAAACTTTGCCCTGTAATGTCCAGTGTGAACCTTCCGGCCCAGTGAAAATATCACTCTTGGGACAGGCAGACACCTGGCAAGTTTCCCAGGGTCCCAGAGGAAAACAAAGCCATTGATCCCATTTCACTTATGGTGGTGGAGATTTTGACCAAGATCAGAGAAGGAAATGAAATTATTGGCAGCACTGTTCAAAAAGAGAGTGTGCTGGACACTCCAGTTGTTCCACAGTGTTGACCAAATACTAAGTCAGTATTTACGTAGTTACTGGTTGTCAATCTCCCCCATAAAAGGTAAGTTCCACGAGGGCAGGGACTTCATCGGCACTCATATGCTCGTGCTTTCTCCCTTTGGGGTAGACAGAGACGTTTAAGAAAAAATTGTAAAAAATTAATTGTTTTAGTCATAATTGCACTAAGTTCTCAAAAGAGAATGGGTTTGATGGGGCCCGAGAGGGCTTCTGCAACCAAGAGAGGATTGAGCTAAAAATCTAAAAGGCACACAGGGGAGGAGGGGGTAAAGGAACTTTCCAGGCAGAGGGAGGAGCTGAGGTCCTGAGATGGCTGAGCACAGAGCACTGGAAAGAGAGAAAGAGGCCAGGTGAGGCTGGGGCATAGGAAATGGACAGCACAAAACCCTACAGGCCACAGTTTGATCTTGATCCCCAGTGCAAGAAATAGCCACTGAAGGAGTTTAAACAAAGGAGCAACAGGATCACAGTTTGGTCCTGATCCCCAGTGCAAGAAATAGCCATTGAAGGAGTTTAAACAAAGGAGCGACAGGATCAGAGCTGCATTTTTTAAAGACGACTCTGAGGTTTTGTAAGTGGAGAGGGTACTGGAGGGCCATAAAGGAGATGCAGAAGGACAATTATAGGAGGTTGCAAGAGATGATATTAGGCTGGGTGAGAATGGCGGAGATGGGGAGAGACAGACTGGGATCTGGGTAGGAAGAAAAATCAGTAGGACTGACTATTTAAATGTGGGGGGGGGGGTTAGAAAAACCCACATTAAGAATAACTCCCGCCCAGCCAGGCGTGGCTCAGCGGTTGAGCGCTGACCTAGGATCCAGGCGATCAGGGTTCGATTCCCGGTCAGGGCACATGCCCGGGTTGCGGGCTGCAGCCGATCAATGACTCTCTCATCATTGATGTTTCTATCTCTCTCTCCCTCTCCCTTCCTCTCTGAAATCAATAAAGATATATTTTTAAAAAAAGAAAAAAAAAAGAATAACTTCCAGTTTCTGAACGACACAGCTGCTGGCACTGTTCACTGAGAAGGAAGTCTGAGTTGGTAAGAAATAGCATGGGTTTCGTGGATAGTCCCAAGAAACTGAAACTCATCCATTAACACTGAGTGCCATGCCAGCGGGGCCAACGCTGGGCCTCGGGTGGATTATCTAACTTAACCCTCACTGCACCCCTATAAGATAGGTGTCACTCCCCCCATATTCAGGGGCAAGAAAACAGACATGGAAAGGCTTAATAAACTTATCACCAATCTCAAGAGCGAAAAATGGGTAGATCTGGAATCTGAGCCCAAACTTCTTGAGTTCTGAAGCAGATGGCTCTTCATGACCAGCCCATACTGCTTCGTGACAACGCAGGGGAAATCTCAGGATTTCAAAAGAATTTGATGGTTAATCTGGAATTCTGAGGCCAAATCGACCTAGGAAACCTTCAGCCCTCATCTCAGAGATGCCCAGAGTAAACTCCACACCAGAAAGCGATGCTACACTTCCCTCCTCTGCTTTTCACTCCCTGCCTGCCTCATGTCCTCCCCCTTCTGCCCAAACCCCAAGGTTACCTCCAGCGGCTCGATGCCTCCGCTTTGCCTTCTCCCAAGCTCCCGCAATACTTTCAGTCTCACTGCACCTTTGAGCAGTGATCTCGTGCAAGCCACCCTGTAGGATTTCCATGTATTTTCTATTTCCTTACATTTTATTTTTTCTAATGTGAACTTTCATCCAATATATGCTGAATGTCTTTAAAAGTCTTTCATGTACTAAAGTCAGATTGTTATAAACAAGCTAATACACATGAATGTCAAACAATGGCACACCGTGGGTCTGGCTATCAGCCACAGGTTCAGCTTTATCAATGTCATCATCTCTAGCTATAGAGCGGAATCCCATCATGCATGCATTCGACTTAAGCATATTCAACTCTGACTCCTTGAGAAAGGGGAGGGGACAGGGAGAAGGAGAGGGAGAGAGTGTGATTTAGGTAACGTAGGCCATTACACCTGCCGTTTCAGTCAGCGAGCACCTATCCCCTGGGATAGGCTATGAATCTGCTGTTCCCCCAGCTGGACTCAGCCCCTAAGGACTTTTCCCAGTATGAGTGATTCTCTGGGAAGATGCTGATTTTAGCGTTGAAGGGCACATGCTTCAGATATACCACCATCTCTAATTTTAGTCAACCACTTTTCCTACCCCTCAATGAAAGAAACAGTTACCTATCCCAAGGCTGGAGGGAAAACTGGTCTGTTGGACTCCTTGAGAGACGTGATTTGCACACCACGCTTTCATTTGAGAGCTAACCCCTAAGACATGGCTACAGTGATGGCTGCACACGTCCGTGTGATCCTCTGACCTATAGACCACGTTGTTTCTTTATTGTTAAATATCCATAAGTGGGAGTCAGAAAATAAAAAGCACTGATACAACTAATACACCCACATCTGCACAAATGAAGCAAAGGTGAAAACCATGAGGCCTCCTGAAGTCAAATGAGAAGAAAGGGAACAAAATTCTGCAACAGAATGAAGTGCTGGCCCTGGGTCCAAAGGCCAGTAATTGGGGATTTTATCATCGTCTTTAACTTTCTGGAAAAGAGTCTCCACAGTCACAGGCACACACCCGAATGCACACCTAGAATTACGGTACAGACACACTTCCAGGAGAAGGCCATGCCCGGATGTGCCCCGCAGCCCGCCTAGGAATCCCTGGCGCTCAGCTCCCGCAGCGCCTGCCCCTGCGGCCCTGCACAGCTGGGCCTGCCTCCACCTCCACCGTAGGCTCCTCGCAAGGCTCAGGCCTCCCTATCTCTGTGTCCACAGGCCTCAGAGCGCCCTCCGCAGAGACTGCAAAGTGAGCAAGTGAATAATAGCCAGATTTCCGTCTCCAAGATTCATCCCTAATGAATTAGGGAAGAAAGACACCTCTGCAGGCAGTGGCGGGGCCGCTGTCCCCAGCCCAGCGCCCCCTGTGCATGGCGCTCGGCCTCACCTGTCCAGAGAAATGCAGCACAGGTGCAAAATAGATGCCGTGGTGAGCAGGACGTCCAGGGATGTCCGGACCAGGCAGAACATCTCCCCGTAAATCCAGATGTCCTGAACCAGCTCGATGGCACCGAAGGGCATCACCAGCACGGAAACCAGCAGATCCGCAAAGGCAAGAGAGACAATGAAATAGTTGGTTTTTATTTTCCTGCGAGCGAGAAAGTGTGAGGAAGAGGCAGAGGGAGGGCGAAGGAAGGAGGTCAGGGAGGAAAGGGAGGAGCGAGAAGAGGGGGGAAGGAAAGCAAAGAAAGGAGGAAAGAAGGGGGGAGAGGAGAAAGGAGAAAAGGTCAAACGTGTGACTGGGCCTTTGAAGTTGTTTCCCCTCTGCGACGTGGCTGGAAAGGCCCTGCGCGGTCCGGACCCCTTCAGAATTCTCCAGGCTCCTCTTGCACCCAGAGCTCTCTCGCCCTCTCCCCTCTGGCCATGTGGTCTGATTGGAGTCCCTGCGTACGGAGCTCCTCCCAAGGGCCTTTTACAGGGTGCTCCCTCTCCCTACTATTGGCTTAACTACATCCCACCCGTCTTGCAGGCCCCAGTCTGGTCGTTCTCGGGGGCCTTCCCAAGGTGCCCCCTCCACGAACGGCGTGAAATTCCATTATTTGCCACCTTCAGACTGACGTTTGCGACACCCATCAGAAGGGTGCTTTTATGCTCTGCTGCATTATCACTGGATCGATGCCGTCTTTTACCCCCCTATGGTCTGGTGGCTCTTAACCTAGGCTGCACGACAGAATCAGCCACTGCATGGGACATACTTATACTACACAGTAGCAAGTTTTCAAAGGTCCCCGGGTGACCTTAATTGCAGCCAGGGCTCAGACTGGTGAAGCGAAAAGAGAAGACCCAGGTTTACATCCTGGATCAGGCACTGCCGGCCACCCTTTCTCTGAACCGACTGAGAAAGTGGAGAGTTTAGATTAGATGTGGCCTCAACACATGTACAGACAGTGATCACAACTGATTAAAAAAACTAACAAAGGTAAACCTAGGAAAGAGGACAGGATGGAAACGCACTTAAGTGTTTACACGGTCATGTTAGGGTTGTGGGGTGATGTGCAATCTTGTCGCCTTGCCCTGTTTCCAAACATTGTCCCCATGTATTTTTTTTCCCCTTCATTATCACAAACTATAATGGAAATTAGAAGTGCAGACCCCAACTCTGCAGGGAGAGCCCAGAACGCCACCCAGGTTTCCTTATGAGGTTGCCCCATGCTACTCACCTGAGCTGCCGGTCCCTGCACACGGCCACCATCACCAGAAGGTTCCCCAAGATGGCCATCAGGATAACCACCGAGAGAAACGTGAGCAGCAAGACCTTCTCCACTGACCTGAAACCCTCCTTGGAACTGGAAGACAGACACACAAAGAATTGAAGGAAACCCTGAGACGCGAGCAAGAAAATTCATCTTTTCCTCACTCAGGAAGATAACTTCGCCATCAGCAGCTGCAGCACACATTTATTGTGCACCTAATATGTGCCAATGTCTGCACCTGTCGCTTTACATGATATCTTAGTTAAGCCTTACACGACAGGGGAAGGAGGCTCAGAGACATGAATGAACTGCCCTGAGGCTGCACAGCCATTCTCCAGAGAGCTCATGCCTTTCCTTCAGAGCTTCCTCAGCTGTGCTCAGAAAGGCATTTTGGTTGATTCCTGTTTTGTGCACCTGCCCACTGAGGAAGCTCCATGTGGCAGGGACCTCATGTGGTTTATTCATGGATAAATTCAACAGCAATCAGTCATTCACATTTCTTGGATGAAGGAAAGATGATGTTGGGTGGATGAATGACGGTGACTTGAACCAGGGTCTGCATGAGTAAAAGGTCACCCTGTCTGCAGGACCCCAGCCAGCCCATGCAGAAGCTGCTGTGCACGGTGGGCTGTCTCCAGAATAGGCCGTGGCTTAAAGATTGTTCTTACGTAGCTGACCTGAAGAAATTGGTCTCAGATTCTGTGAAGTCCATTAAAAAGACAGCAGCCAATCAATAAACGTAGAAACTCACTTCACTGCCCTAAACAACATCTCTTTTGTTCCCCAATGTAACAGTTCAAATCTGTGGTCTTGACAATGTTGGCATCTGATTTGATTCTATAAACTCTGCTGTCCTAGTATGAATCATTTTGTTTTATTAACTTAGAAGTGAGTGACCCCCATCAATAAAAGCACAATGCCTGAAGATTATTCAGAAGCTACAGAAAAAAGTTTTATGCCTATTAGACTAATAAAATGTTCTTTTTAAATGAAGCTTCAAAGGATCTTAAAATTCTCAGACCCAAGCCCCACATTTCAATATAAGAAACTGAGGCCCAGAGAGAGAAACTGAGCTGCCAGAACAGTTTAGCGATTGGTCTGCAAGGGGCTGCCTGCCCTGGGAGTCCACTCCTGGGACCACAGGCTCCCAAGAATCAAGAAATACCTGTGTTTACTGAGCTCCTTCCATTGGAAACCAAGACGGCTGCTGGCCCCAGGTGGCAGCAACATACCAAGTCCTGTCTCTGGCCTTGTCCACAAGTTTCTCAAAAGATAAGATGCTAATTAAAATAAGGACCGACTAGTACAGTGGCTGAAGAATCAGAGCACCCACTCCACTGACAGGTGTTTTTCTTAACTGATGGATTGACTGATTGATTGATCAATGTCTGTACGGCTAGGGTTCAGATTGTTATCGGAATACGCGTGGATGGTCTTTCTCCAATGCTAGTGAGTCAGGTTCTTGGGGTACCCTGGGAATAAACATTTCCAGAGGCCCCCGGGGAGGATGGATGTGGTAGAAAGCTTTATTTGCCGGAATTACACCCCTGGGATTCCAAAGCCCGGTTTCCCTCAATCCAGTCCTGGAAGAGGTGCAGCTGGGGACTCGGCAGAGCTAAAAGCAAAGCCAGTGTCCAGAGCTTTCGTTCCCTGGAGGAGCTGGATCCAGTAGCATCAGGCTAGTTGTAACCCATTAGTCCATTGTGGGGGGGGAGGGATCCACATGGATGTGGGCCATGTGGGCAAACGCAGGAGCGTGAGAGTCCCACAGCCAGGAAATCAAGAGGCGAGAGTGCAACTACGAGCACAGGAGAGCAAACTCCTTTGTTTAGGAGATTCAGTTTCTCAAATCTTCCCACGTTCGCAGTGGCTACGCCGGTTCTGGTCAATGGCCTGTTCCCAGGTGTGGCTGACAGGCAAATACCTTCCCTATGTCACCCAGGCTTTACTGGGCAGGCGTCTGTTCTCCCCCTGTCCAGTCCCTGGGGAGTGTTAAACTGCAGCTTCCTGGCAAAGCTGCACAAATGGCAATGATATTTGGCCTGCCCTTCGCTCCCTTCCTGTTACTTATAACTGGGTTCATTCAAACGGTATCGAGATGGAAAGAAATTCCAGGGATGTTCATCTAAATCACTCTTCCACACCTAAAGTCCCACTATCAACAGTACAAACACGGGACAGGGAAGGTTTCATTCATGAGGAAAAAGACCTTACTAGGGTGATGTGTCTACCCAAAACTAATCTGACCTCAGGCCGCGTTAACTGAGGTAACGTGTCTCACGAAGGAGGTGATGGTGGTTTTCCCCTTGTCCTTCTCATAGGCTCCCACCCAGAGCCCCCCTGAAGCCGGTGCCCTCCCAGGCCTCTGCACTAGCTGCGCCTCCCTCCCGGATGCCTCTTCCCGTCTTTCAGGTCTCAGGTTAAAGTTACCCCACTTAATGCGCCAGCATAAGACAGCACTTGCTGCTATCTGGAGTGACTTCTGTTACTGACTCTCGTCTGTGCCCCGCCCCACAGACTGACTTCGCTCATCTTTTCCAGCACAATCTCCAGGGCCGGACACGTCTACTCTGTGGCGTGTGGTGTACAGGTATGTGCAGCACATAGGAAGCGCTCAGTTATCTGCTTATTGAGTGAAAGAAAGACATGTTGTAGTCATAATGATGAGGCTCACCCCTCAACGTCTTAGAAAACTGACTGAACGTACAGAGAAGATGGTCCCTAGAGAAGATCCAGTAGGAGACACGAAAGCTCTTTTTAACTATCTGAAGGGCTGTCATTTGAAATAAGGGCAGATTTGTACATGCACTCCTTCAACTACTTTCTCAGCACCTTCTCTGCCCCAGGCATTGCTGCAAGTCCTAAGAAAGGAGAAATAAGCAAAACAGAGAGCCAGCAATGAATAGATAAAAGGAATCTAAAGGGAAGAACAAACTGGGCGCCAGTAGGGGCGGAGTGCTGGCTATTTCGTAGGGGCCCTCAGAGAAGGCTCAGTGAGACATTTGTCACACTACAGCCCTGCAGGTTGTGTAAGGAAGTGGGATGAAGAGCAGGCTGGGAGCTGAGTTGGTTCTCAACTCTGGCTGCTGATTGAAATGACCTGAGGAGCCTTAGAAACGCTGATGTTAGGGCCCCACTCTCAAAGGTGCTGATTTAATTAGCCTGGTTGCAGCTTAAATATTGGAATTTTTTCCAGTCCCTACGTGATTCTGACGTGCAACCAAGGTCGACAATCCCTGCTAGAAGGAGACGAGATTTAGACCCGGCTCATGAGAACTTCCTAACAGCTAAGGATGCTCTCCAGTAGCTCCCTGGTGTTAACGTGAGCTCCGGCTCGGGAAGCGGTTAAGGCGCCTGGATGCCAATGAGGCGCCACCTCGACCCACGCGGGCGGCTACTATAGAAACAAAACAAAGTGAGAAGGAGCAGTGCTGGTGAGGATGTGGAGGCAGTGGGTCTGGTGGATTGCTGGTGGGCATGTAATATGGTGCAGCTGCTGTGGAAAACAGTTTGGTGGATTCTCAGAAGGCTACATTTAAGTTGACCACATGACCCAGCACTTCCAGTCCTAGGTACCTACCCGAAGGGATTGAAAGCAGGGCCACGAGTAGACACATATACATAGATGTTCGAAGCGGCAATGTTCACAATAGCCCAAAGGTGGAGACAACCCAAGTGTCCATGAAGAGGTAAATAGGTAAACAGAATGTGGTATATACATCCTATGGAATTTTATTCAGTCATAAATTTCTGATGCATGCCAAAACGTGGATTAAACATTGAAAATATTGTGCTAAGTGAAATGAACATGACACAAAAAGACAAATATTGTATGATTCCACCTATATGAAGAGCCTAGAATAGGTAAATTCGTAGAGAAAGTAGAATAGTGGTGACCAGGGGCCGTCGGAGGGGAGGAGGGAATGGGGGGTTACTTAACAAGTAGAGATTCTGTTTGAGGCAATGAAAAAATCCTGGAAATGGATAGTGGTGGTTGCACAGCATTGTGAATGTATTTATTGTAACTGAATTGTACATTTTAAATGGTTACTTTAGCCCTGGCCAGTTTTTCTCAGTGGTTAGAGCATCGGCCCGAGGACTGAAGGGTCTCGGGTTTGATTCCCGGTCAAGGGCATGTACCCCAGTTGCAGGCTCCATCCCTGGCCCTGGTCAGGGTGCAGGAGGGGAGGCAACCATTCGATATGTCTCTCTCACACCGATGTTTCTCTCTCTCCCCTCCTCTTCTCTCCCTTCCACTCTCTCTAAAAATCAATGAAAAAATATCCTCAGGAGAGGATTTTAAAAGAATGGTAATTTTATGTATTAATAATAAAATGTATGCTATGTATACTTTATCACAATTAAAACAATACATGGATGACTATATATCAGGATGTTGTATAGGGCTCCTCTATTGGAGGCAGGTAAGGTTGGCTGATTTTAGGTCTCTCTCTTGTCTATGGACAATGGTCTGAGCATATCCTTAGAACAGGGTCGGTCCATCAACCAGAACCTGACCACTAGAACCATCTCCCTGCACCGCCTTTCCTCTTACAGAAGAGAAAACAGATTCAGAGTCTGTGGTGCACAGCTCTGGCTCCAGAGAAGGCATATTTCAAATCAAATGGGAATGTCAGGGTCAGAGAACCCCAAGTTCAATGTTACGGTTCATTTGTGGCATGCTAATTAGGAACTAGAAATAGCTAAACTTTAAACTGTGAGTGACAAGCACAGTTTAACCAGAGGAGGAACTTTTTTAATTAGGCAGAACTGTGCATTGAACTAAATGTTAAGTCCAGTAATGATAATTAAAATAAATTATAAGCCACTTCTGCTAAATCCGTGTGAGACCCTTCGGTTACCTCTGTCACCCTCCAAGGATACCATCAGCCCCTACCAGACAGGTCCCATCTGACCAAAGAGCTCGGTCTAAGCCACTAAACAGGTTCTTTGACAGTTAGTCTTACAGGGAATTTTTCTTCTTTCTTTTTTTCTTTTTTTTTTTTTTTTCAGTGATCTCTTGATCCATTAATAAAGAAAGTCCACACACTTGCTGGCTCTGTTTGGCATTTTCTCTGTTCTTAATAAAAGAA